TTTTCCTTACTTCCTCAGTAAATACTTCAGGTACTCTTAGGTAAAATGGATATGGTAGCCATGGCAACTCTGCTGCTCTATTTGCTAGCCAGTGCTTGTAGCAAACCATGTGTTGGGCCTTCAAGGAGCTACAGGTGTTCCTCTATATAATTTCTGAACCCTCTGTACAGTTTTCTCTGTTAGGTAGGCGTTTGGCACGAAACTACTTAGAGCAGTTCTGGGTTGATCAGTTACTGTTATTTTAGGCACTAAAGGGTAAAGAAGGTGGTCATTTATTTGAGAGGAGGTGATATGAGTATTGTGGACTTGGGTGACTCAGCTCTGCCTCATCCTGCTTTTTTAGATACAGCTTTTAGTCCAAAACTGTCTTTCAGGATGGTCAGTTTGAAAGCTAAGTAATGTAAGATTACAGTCTTAGGAGGTGCTGGTATCTTGAGGTTTCTTCTAAGCAGCCAAACCATTCATTTGCTATGTTAAAGTCAACCATCCAATGCACTTGTCTTTATAATTATAAACCAAAGAAAATGTAAAAGACGACTTCTTCCAGGTGAAAACTGAGCTAGTGATGGAGTTTGACCCATAATGAGAAGCGTCCAGCAGATGGCATCAAAGAACTGGGAAACCCATTTTACAATAAGCCCATGCCTAGGCTGTGAGTGCCAGTGCTGATTTTGGGGAAGTGAAACTTCGGCTGCAATGACCACATTCTCATTAGTTGGTTGGTAACACTTTAAAATTCACTCCTAAGTGACTGCTGTGCCAGCTTTGCTGTTCTGAGCATATTCACGGCTGTGTAGACTGCAGGTATTTAAAATGATTGTGTTTTCTAGATAGGCCATAGTATGGATAGGGCTTCATTATAGAAAAGAAAAAGGCAGCTAGTAAGATTTAACTGTGATTCCAGTGGCAGCTATAAAGCCAATGAGGACCTTAGTTCAGTAAAGGTCCCAAAGGGAGAATGCTGGTGAGATGTGAAGAGCTTGCATTATCCCTGTGGTTCTTTGGTATTCTAGAAGTGGAACTGTTCATATATACAGCTCTGGTGTTTAGGAAGAAGATGACTGTTAGAGTGTTCTTGTGAATGCCGAAGGTCTTTCCTCTCTGGTGCTCGATTTCAGTCCTTTGAGGTTTGTTTTGTGACCCCACCCCCTTATTTTTTCTCTTTTTTCTGGTTGGTATATTTTAGGCCATTTCACTAGGCCTTCCTGCAGTACTAGAGTTTAGGCTTTTATGTGTATGATGCATCTTTCCTGTTTGCCTAGTCCTTACTACAAATTGTGTGTCCATGCAGCCTTGAAAATCTAGGTGCCTTTTGGCACATGTAATGACCAGTTTCCTTGTATGGTTTGGACAATCGTGTTTGCAAGTCAGGCAAGTAATTATCCAACAAACTTTTTCTGATTAGTCTCTGGATTTTTGTAGTTTACGGAACATGCTGTCCCAGGCTATCATTTGATATTTTTGTATGCGTAAAATAGAACGTACAGGAAACACTTTTTTGTTCTTACGTTGTCATTGTAGAAGTTGATTTGCAGATCGTCCATCAGTTGCTTGAAAGTATTTGACAGAGTCCTAGTTTTCCCTTTTAATAACCTTTCTCCTCCCTTATGAATATATGCAATTGTTTTTCAGTTGGCATTTATTTTGTTTAGTGACCCATCTCCTAAGTATTCTTTCTTTTTGGTAGATTGGAAATTTCTGTTATCTCTAATAATGTTTGCCTTACAGTTATCTTGTTCAGATAATATAAGTCCATGGAAAAACCGTGATCCTCTGTGCACCTCTGTACATGTCATGAATCATTTAGCTGCACTTGACAATATGCATTTTTTAATATAATTGTCAGAATGCAAATAGTTTACTGTCATTCTCTGTATTGTCAAGGGAGTGACATTTGTAAAGCACTTCAAAGATGAAATGCACCGTAAAAGTGCTAAGTGTTATTTTAATCTAAGGCCTTCATTTAGAGCGTTGGGCCAGTGATCTCTTATGATCTTTTAGTGATTGAATTCGCTATTCAGCACCATCTTTGTATTAAAATACAGTTTCCGTACTGTTTTTGTTTTGCAAGTCGTAGTGCCATCAGAGGCTGGCTTTCCACTTGGTTGCAGCAGGTAAAGCAGGTAAACTAGCAAAACTCTGTAGCCAGTGAAATACAGCTCATTTCAGTGCATGATGTCAAGGAGACTTAACTTACCAGTTTTTCAAAGTAGCCTGCTAAAAACTCTGTAAACACAGTAGGACACATTTATTATACTTATTATATTTCCAGGGGCTTGTTTGTGATTCTGTATCTTGTCAGCTGATATAAAAATGTTTTTTACACGATGATCTCTAGCATAACCTTCTCCAGTGGAACCTTCATTATTGCTCATCGCTTTTGTATAGAAGATCCACGGATATCATTACACTCCATAATACAAATGTTGATAATTACTCAGTAATTATAGGAAGTTGTGTGTAGCCAAAGTACAGATAATTTTGTGGTATTAACTATCACTTCAAAGAGCAAAAAAAGATTGAATGCTGAATACTAAAGCCATATTTTCTGTAGAAGCAACAGAATTAAGTAGTTTGGTTTGCATGAGTCAGTGGTTCAGATAATTTATCTAATGTTATTCTAATAGTCTGATTCATGAAAGAGAAAAAAATGTGGATGTATATAGGCATGATAAAGCCTGACAGAAATTATTTACAACCAAGTTTGTCCTTATATTGATTGTATGAGTCATACAGAAAAACAAATTATTTTGTAATTAAACGTTAGCTGCTGATCGGACTGCACAGAACACAGTGCACCAAACACAGGCGTAAATGGCTATGAATAATTTCCCTCAGCAAGAGATGAAATAGGTTTACAGTTAAGGGGGACTGCATTCAGCTGTTAAAGAGATGTAATGAAAAAAATTACAAACCTGAGTAGAACATCATCCATTTACTGCAGATTTACAAAAATCTTTTGTTTGCTGTTGTTCTCCAAAGCTGGGTACTATACTGTGACTTTGATCTCAATTTATAAACTACAGGTATCATTAGGTAATCCTGTATACTCATGGCAGCAAACCCCACACTTGGGGATGCTGAGTGGTGGGGTGCAGGGTTATAATGTAAGTTCATCAAAAGATTGCTTCAGGGTAACCGCTGTGGTCTGGTCTGGCATTGTTACCACTTGTACAGGGTAGAGGAGAGACAAGATGTACTTGATATTGACATAGAGGCTTGGCCAGTACTACACCTGGGCATTTCCTTAAGCTATTAGGAAAATTTCCTGTTTGCTTTCTCAACACAGCCCAGCACAAGTGAGGAAAAACACTGTTCAGCAGATTTTTAGATTCTGTCAAGTTTTACCCCTTCAAGCACGGCACAGTACAGAAGTCCATCATATTACCATGTTCGGATGATTTTCTTCCCTTGTTAACTGTAGCTAATAGGATTGTGCACACCAGACTTACAGTGCTCTGGTAAAGTTACAACTTTTTAAAAATTATATTTACAGTTAAAATTTCTACTGTCTATTAGGTATCTGGATAGAAGTGTGAATTAAACCAGACTCATTGTTAAGGGCTAGTCATTGAACAGCAACCACCTATAGCACAGAAGTATAAAACCTGAATGCCTTTGGGTACACATAGCGGTAAATCAACTCAGATAAAAATTATTAATCTCAAT